GTATCAGTTGCAGGGGTCGCCGCCACTACAAGCCCCTCGTTTCTCAGATATGATAATAACTAAGATAACCCCCGGCGAACCTTTCCGCATCTATCGTCGACCTCTTTAAATGTTGTCCATGTTTCAATCCAACTTTTAATGAGCACACGTCGCTACATATCTCACAGACAAATCCGTATTATTCGAAAGACTAGAAACATTCGTCACTCGAGTCACAATCCCCACGCGAAAAACTATCTATTTTGTACATCTCTTTTTATATATTTTTTATGAATCAAAAAATGAATATAATTGAACAAAACTTATAACTTATAACTTGTAACTTTTACATACTAGGGTCATTGAAACGCTTCTGTCGTATTTTTTGGTGGATCGCCTATTTTTTTCCTTATTAAAAATTCTACGATTGTAGGACTATTTCCAATTCGATATTTCACTGTTTAAATAGATATAGCATAAGTCTTCATTGGCAATCAATCAATATATGCAGAAATCAGATAATTGATATGAAATCAAAACGTGATTCTTGTTTTTATTATTCAAGCTTTCATACCTCAGCACCATGTTAATCGAACTTAATAATAATGATTTTATGATTATTTTGCAGTGTTTTGCACGTTCTTCAAATTCATATAATAAAGAACTCTGCTAGATACCTATAAACATATGAACAATCCAAATGAACGCCAAAAATAGTGTCAAATTAAATATAACGTGCCGTAATTTTGAATTTCAATCGAAGATAACGGAAAAACTGTGGAAGATACCCATAAGAGAGTTGAACCATGCGAAAGCTAATGAATTTTTCTATGGAATGATATAAAATCAATCCCCATTCTCCAAGTACAAGTATACATCAGTATATATCAAGATAGGGCTACTCGTGTTGAGTACGAACTTTCACATGGATATCATGGTAAGAATTATTTGAGGAACTTTAATGTTAGAGGTAAAATATTCCGGTGAAGTCGAAAAATTTTCAGACAAAAAATCCGTTTGATGATATTTTATGAGCGAATTCCTGCCCTTCTGAAGAGATTATATGCATGGATTTGATTTTATACTGCATTGAAGTATATTTTTTTCCCGTGTTTTTTAGGAATTCATATATGATCCAACTGTATTCTGTAATATA